CTTTTTGGGAACGGCACCGGGCACAGACTGTTTGCCCTGGAGCAGGTGGTGGATTTGAACTGTTCTGAGCCCCACAGGCAGCACAACTCGGGGCACAGCTTCTGGAAGAGAGTAGCGTGCTGCGGTTAATTCTTCGGGGAGAGCGCAGCACCTCCTGTGAGTGCTCAAGAATATTGTTTTCTCTTGGTTATCGGAAGGCGTCAGAGCGTGTGGTGTCTGAGGAATGCTGGGCTCTGTTAGTGACGGAGCTGCAGTGGCTTCCCAGTTCCAGAAGGACAGGGAACTGCTGGAAAGGGTACAGCAGAGGCTCCAGAGATGAGGAGGGGCCTGGAGCATCTCCCTTACGAGGAAAGGCTGAGGGACTTGGGGCTTTTGAGTGTGGAGAAGAGAAGGCTGAGGGGGGATCTGATCAACGCCTGTAAATACTGAAAGGGTGGGTGTCAGGAGGATGGGGCTGGTCTTTTTTCAGTGGTGCCCAGGGACAGGACAAGAGGGAACGGGCACAAACTTGAAGATAAGAAGTTCCATCTCAACATGAGAAGGAACTTCTTCACTTTGAGAGGGGCAGAGCCCTGGCAGAGGCTGCCCAGGGAGGTGGTGGGGTCTCCTTCTCTGGAGACATTCAAAATCCACCTGGACACATTCCTGTGGGACCTGCTCTGGGTGGCCCTGCTGTGACAGGGGGTTGGACTGGATGATCTCCAGAGGTCCCTTCCAACCCCAAATCACTCTGGGATTCTGTGAAGGAGAAGTTGCTGTCAGGGCGCTGCCCTCACCTTTAGTCCTTTCCCAATCCATACCTCTTTTCCAGAAAAAAAAAAAACCCTCAGGAGGAATCGGAGGGGGGGAAAAGTAACATGAGAGAAAACTGAGCAAGAGAGAAATAGAGGAAAAAACCGAAAAAATCCTGTCAGAAGCTGAAGAAAAGGAATGGGGAAATAAAATGCTGCCAAAGCATCAGGCCTGCCCCCTGTGCTGATATTAAAATGAATATGTAAGCATTTAGGATTTGTAGAAGGGTGAGAAAAAGCCTTTTTCTAGGTCACCTACGTTTTCAGTGCTTTATTGTGTCGAAGGGAAGGAGAATCATCGCTTTTTAAATAAACTAGGGGGTTTTTTTCCCCTCAGGACCTCAGCCGGCGCCCGCCGCAAGGCACGACGGGAGTTGTAGTCCCGCGCCCCCCCTGACTGGGGGCCGCGTGACTACATCTCCCGTCGTGCCTTATGGCGGGCACCGCCCCCAGCGGCCAATCAGGTGCCGAGGTGGGCGTGGCCGACGCCTGCGCGGTGCGCGGCGGCGGCGGAGGCGGAGGGCGCGGGAGCGGGGCCGGCAACCGGGCAGAGCGGCACCGAGCGCCGCCTTCCC